GAAATCATCCTACACATCACATTGTTTAGAGCGTACTTTGAATTCAAATTTTGAAGGCGTATGATATCTTTAGAATTGCGAAAATGAGGTCAATGTCCATCAAAGGTTACATTACCATTTATAACTATGTTTTTTTTATGTTTTTTTATGTTTATATTTGTAATTCATCACTTTCTGTATTAGATATGTTTGTATTTGTGTTTGCTTGACCCATATGGGTGTATTTTGCAAATAAAATTATGACAATTTTTTTTTAGTATATACAAATTTTTCATTTTACAATAATGTATTTAAAGATAAGGATTTCAAGGTTAGAAATGGAAATTATACAAAAACAAGACGCCTTTAGATAGGGAAAAAAACAATTAAAAAAGTAACGTTTAATCAAAAGATGGATGTGATCAGGGTTCTGTGTAATACTCACATAATTTGTATATCTCACCTTACTCTTGACAAATATCGGGGTTTTTTCAGACTCATTTGACTCACCACAAACAAAATTTACATATAGTGTAGTAATAAACTAAAGAAAGGGCTTTTTGGATAAAAACCAGAATTTTATCTCCAGTTTAAGCTATTGATAACTGGTGTTTTTTCATTTACACTTTGTCTTTTATTCACTTTCGGCAAGTTAAGACTGTCGGTCAATAAGAAATATGTTATATAGAAAATATCAAAGGTATTTGTATGACCTTTTAAATTTGGCATGATAAATTCTGGTAAGGTCCTTTTGATTGTATAGATATTGCTGTATTCTGTTTCGGTCCATTTGGTTCGAAAGATTTTGACGTAATTTGTGATGGTCCTTTTTGTTGGATAGTTTTTGTCGTATTCTGTTTTTGTCCTTTTGATTTGATCATGACGTATTACGTTGAGGTCATTTTGGTTTGAAGATTTTGGCTTATGGTATTTTGGTCTTTGATTGGATATATGTTGACGTATACTGTTAAGTGTTTTTAGAGAATCAAAGGCGCACGACTTGAAGACTGGCAGTCCAAGTAATTTCAGATCGGAGTCGAACACACCTTGCAACAAGAGGGATTCGAACTCACAACCTCAGTGTGACAGGCTAGTGATAACTGTAGATGAACTTTTAAAAGTCGACCGCTGAGTAACTGAGTTTGTTTTTAATTCTTATAAATAATCTTCGTGATTCCTGTATGTATAAAAAGAAACCAAACGATATTAATTTCAATATTTTTTCTAAGAATGTTTTTCGTATTATATGTTAAAAAAGACATATTGCATCCAGAATCCAAAACAATTGTTTCTATTATAACGACACAATAAAAACAAGTAAAGCACATGTTGAACATTAAGAACAGATATACCTTTGGTTATCGCTTGGTTTTAGGAAGCGCAGCAAGTGTTAACACTCTTAGAAAACAATTACAACTACGCTAATTTGACAAACACATGTTCCAAAAAATTAAGAATAGATAGGGTCTGGAATGTTAATAGAGGGATTCTATAGATAACAGTAAACAAGAAACTTGTCTCATCACCATACACAACTGATAGACCGCTTCAAACAATGAAAAAAAATAGATGAGTATTGTCATGTGGCGTGAAATACTAAGCTTTTCTAGGGTGAAATATGTATTAATTAAATGTTCATTATTACCAAAGTTATGTATTAAACAAAAGCTACTATTGAGAGGTTAATTTGTTTAGCACGTGCAGGTCTTCACGTCATGTGCTCGTGAGGTTTTTTCGCACAAGCCACGTTCGGTCGTATGTATAATTTGAAATAAATGAGATGACAAAGAGTACAAGAAACTGTGCATCTGCAATAGTAATAAACAATATTTAATTACCTTGATGTTTTTTTTTTCAACACATTTATATATGTACATGTAGTTCAAATTGAGATTTGGTTCTACTTTACTCGTTGTCTATCGCTGTGCTTAATCCAACACCATGGTCAAAGTCAAATGGTTTTGACTACTAGCACTTTTTTCTATCTACTTACTTACCCTTCCAGGCTGAGCACCTAAGATCATCCCAAGATTTTAGTGGGATTTGTGTTGTTCAGTTTTTAGTTTTTATTTAGTTTTTTGTCGAATTGTTTGTGTTGTCGTCTCTTTTCGTTTTTTTTTTTGCCATGGCATTGCCTGTTTATTTTCGACTTATGAGTTTTGAATGTGATAATTTTACGACCAGTGACTGTTGATCAAGCAAAATGCAAAACATTTTCCGTTCACTTTCATTTTGACCACGTTCAACACTTTAAAATTTCGTTAGTTTGATTTCGTACATGCAAATGATAAGGGGGTCACTTATACCATGACTTGTGCAACGATTTCAAGAAAGAAAGCGAAACAATATTACCATGAAGTTATCATCCCGGTCGAGCCACCTGGTAGAAACTAAACCTAGTATTGTAATAAGGGATGGGATTTTTTCTCAACAAATGAGAAACCACGTGCTTTATCTTTAGTTATTGGAAAGATTGAAGCCTCAAAATGTATGGGAATTTTAGGGCTTGAATCTTTTTGTATAAAAAGGTATATTTATATACACCTATGCAAAAAACGGCACATTTATCACGAAGGGGTAATAATTTTATTTAAATCGTTTACAAAGTACAAATAATTCATACTTTTTACAGTTTTTAAAAATGTGGGCGAATTACATTTGCGTGCATTTGGGGATTACATTTTTTTTACGTTTGCGCGCATTCATTTTACAGGTAACACAGGTAAAATAAAGATAATTCATAATAAATATGACTATAGTTTATGTTAATATGAATTTTCAACATGTTCTATTTGTAAATTAAAATTATATATTCTTCATATTGAATTTTAAAAAAAATATACAGTGATTATGAGAAATCCCGTACTAGCTTAAGACATACATGTGAGTTAATAGCAAATATTTCAGAGTAAATAGCATTCTGTCTCATAATTTTACCGAATAGCGATTTAACAAATAATTTAAGTAAGTTTGTAAAGTTGTGTCAGGGTACACACATGCAGTTTCGTTTGTCAGAAACAAATCGGGGGAAGGGGGGGGGGATTATTTGTGCATGTACGATGGATTTACTATTCGTATCGACAGAACACTTAAGTGCGGAATATTTCATGGCGATGCACAGTAAATAATTGCAAAGGTATTTTACCAAATTCCCATTTCTTCAACGTCTTTGGTCATCACTATACCGTCAGCAGAATCCAGGCGTACTACAAACGGCCCGGAATCTTTAGATTTACTATGTTTTTTTACATTTTTATCTGTTTATATTTCCAGGACTAAGTGCTTGTGCACAATAAAACGGAAAATTATAGTTAAATAAATAAATAAGTATAATCTGCCTGTATTTACCTGAGTTTACCTGTAAAAGAATGCGCGCAAATGTAATCAAAAGCTGGGCGCAAAAGTAAGGATTTTTGCGCGCAAATGTAATGGTAATGCGCGCAATTGTAATGCACCGAGAAATGTAGACTTAATGAAAAATATCATGTTTCAATAAGATTCGTATTTAATTCTGTAATAAATACTTAATTGTATGTACAACAGGCATTTCGAAATATATTTTTTTTCTATATTTGTCAATATTCAGTCACATTTGAAACCTTCACTTAATACAAACATATTCTTATTATATCTTAAAGGGATATTAATATTAAATGTTTAATCCACCATTTTCTACACAAGAAAATGCCTGTCCCAAGTCAGGAATATGACAGTTGTTTTCCATTTGTTTGATGTGATTGAGCTTTTGAATTTGCCATTTGATAAGGGACTTTCCGTTTAGAACTTTCTTTGGAGTACGTTATTTTTGTTATTTCACTTTTTACATAATTTTGCAAAAGACAATGTATTTGAATGTATGTCCGTTTGTGACCTAACTTTTTCAGGTTTGGGGTATAATTTGAATAAGATATATAATGTGCACCCATGACATTGATATATTGTAATACTGTGTGGTTCCTGCAAGTTTGCATCAACCCCGCAGGAGGAATATTAATTTGCCTAAAATTGTTTGCCGCAGATTTGCAGCAACCACTCATTTGTATGGTTAATTTCGGTAAGCTTGCTACAAATACAAAATACATGTTTGCTGCAAGTCTTCAGCATTTTTGCTGCAGATTTGCAGCATATATTAGTAGGTTACTTATTTTTATTCAGAAAGCGGATCCGTTTAATCTTTAATATAAAAGTTTAACTAACGAAGTCTTCAAAGTCACCGACAAATCATGGGTGTGGAGTGGGCAGGGTCACTTCCTATTCCTATATATGAGGGTGTAAGTCCTGCTGAAATGGACCATTTATTTTTATACATGCATGTCAGATATATTGATAATATCAGAGAATGCATTTTCGCTGAGGTATATATAAATAGCAATAACTGATATGTTAATGGGCCATACATTTACAAAACAGGCGCTATGCGAATGTACACCCCCCTTTTTTTATTTTATTTTTAAATTCATTGGGTGAACAAATAATAGACAGGGGCATCATTCATAAACAAACTGGTATTGCTATATCGTTAAGATAATAATAAGTTTACGTTAAAAACGGGGAAATAAATCCAAATACTGAAGAAATAAATTTAGATACCAAACTGCATGAGAAATTAATTTGAAAAAAGGGGGTCCATTCTTAAAGCACCTGTTATGGTCATCGTTTGTAAATATTGGTCACCACTCTTTATATTTTAGACTATTTTATACGAATGATATGGATATGCATGTGGTTAATATCTTTATCTGCTTAAACACATTGTAAATGTAATAACTGAAAAAGATAATTATGAATGGGGATATGATTTTGGCATGCATATATATCGTTGGGTTGAGATGTTCACAAACCTTCAAAAATATGATAAATTGGGTTGTTTTATATGTTAATACCGCAGATGTACGTCTGTTCCTAAATCTTACATTGAGACCAATATGAAATCTTCTAATGAAACCGTATAATTTTAAATTATGCAAAGAATTACATCCCCTGATTTTGAAAGATTTAAATCATGTGACAATCTATATATAGAAGGTATAACTTCCTTTTCCAAAGAATTGTCCTGTTTGTAAGGCAGGTATACATTTTTTATTGATTCTTTGTGTAATACATTCACAATTCACACACATCCCACACAAGTACGATTACAAATATACACAAACACTCTAGCTTTAATATGTAAAGTTCTTTTAACTTTATTTTTTTTATCAACTTTCGTTTTGTACATAATGTGCTTGAACATGTTTAATGTTTTACTATATTTACCAAATTTTATCTAACCTGGTCTTATGTTTGTTACCTTTAATTGTAATTGGGCTTTCTTTATGCTATAAAATAGAATTAAGGAGATGTAGTATGATTCTCAATCAAATATCTATCCATATTGAACAAAGGACAAAGGTGTTGTTTTTTTAGGATTTGTTTTGGATCGGTTATTTATTTTTGTAAACTAAGAGGACAGATTATCTATTTTCTGCACTATTGAAGCAAGATTTTTCATTTTCATTAAAGCAAGGGACTGATTATTTATTTTCACAACTATATTTATAATATTGAAAAACATACAATTTTTAAATTATTTGTTTATTATAAATAATTCATGTATAGTCGAGTCATTATGTACCATTTAATCAGAATTAATTATTATCCTCTGCAGAAATGAATCTTCTATATTCCCCAATGCATATACATGTATTGCATTCATACACAGTATTAAAGTTTGGTTGTAACTAAGGCTCTTTTAAAAGTATTGGCAAACATGTTTTTTTTTGAAGGGTTTTTGAACCGCTGAAGGCCCAAGAAGCTATAGAACAAATGATGCAAAATCATGCCTTCTGGGTGTTCCCCAGACCCTTTCTTAAACTGAAAATGCAAGTTCTGTTTTAATAATTTTATGACAATATTTTGGTCTCAAAGCAAAATCACGTTATAGATTCAGTGTGAGACTTAAGTTTCTAGGAACAACATCAAAAGACAAATACATGTATGCATGATAAAGCAAAAATGTAATTCACATAGTTAAGTCTGTGGCTGCTGTGTTTTTTTAAACTCATGATCAAGTTAATAATAAAATTACTAAATTACAAAATGAATGCAACACTTACAGAATACAGAAGGGCAATCAATGAACAAAAGACAAATAAATAAGAAACATTGATCCCGAAAAATCGGGGGCTACGTCTGAGGGAGAACAGAACTTGCTTCTTGCAAGGCACTCACGGTGAACACAATATGATATGTAGATAAGCGTTTGGTTTTGAAATTTCCTACATGAGGCATTTGTCTCAATGTAGTTACGGCCCTGAATTAATAAAAGTGAGGTAAGTGTTCCTGAGACAATTAACCTCAAGTTAAATGAAACCAATTTTCTGACATTTCAAGTATATTTAAATAATATTAATACTTTTATTATTAAAAGATATGGGAAGTGTTTCCCGATTTTTTTTTTGGAAAAAAGATGAATTTATGAAGAATCTGGTGCCATCTCATACCCCCCCCCCCCCCCCCCCCCAGAATATCAAATGGTCGTCCCCTAATGCACGAAAAGTGCACATGGATAAAATAGTTGATTGGTGTTCAAGCGAAAAGCAATTGTATATTCTTAAGTATATATAAGATGAATAATACAGAAAGGGACATAAGAATTGAATGTTATTTAAGAATTGAATACTTCTTTTTGTAACTTCATTGGGGTGTAAAAGCGTTGACCGAAGTACATTTTGTATGAAGCGCGGAAGCGCTTCATCCTAAAAATGTGCGCACGGTCAACGCATTTATAACCATTTGAAGTTTCAAAAAGAAGCATTCAATACTTATAATTACATTTTTAGCTAGGATCATGAAAACACGATTTTTATCAAGTTTTTATCTAATTTACATGTGCACTTTATTGTGGGACCTCGTGTCATCATGAATGATAAATTTCATTGTGTAATGAAGTTGATTAAGGAATAACGCGAGATTGCAGTTAGCCAATCAGAATAACGTATTATAATGAAACATGCATCTAATGTAATTATTACGAAATATCGTTTTGAAACTGTAGACATGGTAGAACCTGTATAGTACCATTTTTCTCAGAACTCTAGTATATAGTACAGAAATTAATGTACATGTATCATGTATGTTCAATTACATGACAGATTTTTTGTTTATAATCGAACAGAAAATGCATTTTAACTAGAAAATGATATCGATAGAAACATATAACATAGGCGATTCTAATGGAATACTTTATAACCGCTGAAACTCTTAGAACGAATGCAGTTCATTGTTCGATTTGCTGGATTTTTTTCGAACACCAACAATTAAAAATATTTTTTTTTTATTTAGTTAACACTATACTTATATATAGTTGTGCTCTGTATGCTTCCAAAAACACGAAATTATGCAATCAATTGTCGGTTGGCTTGCTTTAAACATTGGGGTGTCGAAAAAACGGGGCTACCCCACTACACCAACCGATATGTTACCGACTTGCCACGAAGTAAAATGAGTGATCAAGAAAATCTAATGGTGGAAGAAGGAATAAATTACGAGCAATATCAAAGGTCTTTCAAGGAGATGTTGATATATTGAATAAAACATAAATAAGAAGGCCTGTCAACAATAATTATTATGTTTTGTTACATGCATATATATATATATATATATATATATATATATATACAGTAAATAGTTTTATAAATATCCCAATTTTTTCTGTTTTTTTTTTATCCATGATATATTTGTCACTGGACATTAAGCAAATAACAATCATAAGTGACAGAAGGGTAGATAACCCCGTGGTCAAAAGAAGACAAAACCCAACTGGAAATCCAAACGGAGTTTTTCTTCTCATTTAGCTCTTTATCCGTTTATGTTTCTTCGGCTTTTATTCTTTTGGCTTTTCGTTCTTGATCAAGAGAAATCCATGCAGAAAAGTGTTTCGGACGCATTCAATTTATAAAGTGTAATTTTCCTTTTTGGAGACTTGTTCTTTTGCAGTTCTTATTCTTCATCTTCTTCGCCGAGTAAGTCCCAAAGGGTATATTGATTTTTCGTTTTGGAGATTTCTTTAAAAAATTCTGTTAAAACTATAACTTGTTAAAACTGTTAAAAATTGATTTTTTTTTTTTCATTTACATAATCTGTGATAAATTGACTTGGTCATATTGTTATTGTCATCCAGACTTCTCTAATTCTGATGCAGCATGTATTTGGCTGTATGGGATGTATAAATACATAGCCTTGTCCGGTGTGTATCGGGACGTTATATCAGTGCATCATATTTGTAGACTGTTACTCTCTCTAAATCTGAAAGAACCATTGCATCAATTAATTTAGCGGTCCATATTTTACTATAGTCAAGTTTCAATTGAATTTACAAAGTATGTCCCTATTATGTGTATTTGATTATACTTCTATACCTATATAGTTTTCGACTTAGATCTTACAATTGTGCATGCATCTGCTTATTTGATTTTGTTTCTCATTTTTTGCTAACCTGGCCAAAAGGCTAAGTGGGCTATTCTCATTACTTGGTGTCCGTCATCAGTCGTCGTCGTCCGTCGTCGTTAACTCTTACAAAAAATCTTCTCCTCTGAAACTACTGGGTCAAATTTATCCTAACTTGGCCACTATCATTATTGGGATATCTAGTTTAAAAAATGTGTCCGAAGACCCCGTCTGCTAATCAACATGGCCGACATGGCTCAAAATAGAACATACGGGTGAAATGCCAGTTTTGTCTATTTATCTTGAAAACCGCTATGAATAGGGAAAAATCTGACAGGACAGAAATGTTCGGAATGTAAAGATCTACCTGCTGTACGTTTACGCCAAAATTGCCAGATTACTTTTTATAAGAGTTATTCTAATATGACGTTCTTCAAACTCTTTGAGTACACACCCGTGATAAAATATGAATATATTGTTTGGGCAGTTCCGATCAGATCTATTAGAATAGAATTAATTCATGGGGGGCTAGAGTTTATACTGATTTTACCACGGGTTTGCCTTTTATGTCGATATTTTACCCCTCGCTGTCGCTCGTGGTAAAATATTTAGCATAAAGGGCCAACCCGTGGTAAAATCAGTATAAATTTTAGCCCTACTGAATTATTTCTTAAGTGACCTTAAATTTCATTTTTGTCCATTATTTTTAGAATTATAATAGATCGATAGAATTTTTTATAAATTTTTTGCGTTTTTGTCTTACAAAAATCTTCTCCTCTGAAACTACTGGGCCGGCAACACTCATCATTGGGTATCGTGTTTAAATAATATGTCCGATTACCCTGTCGGCTACGGAAGCCGATAAGGGCCATTTAAAAAAAAAACCAATTATGTCGTAATTACGACATCGCTATGTCGTAATTTCGAAATAACAAGTCGTAATAACGACATCGCTATATATATAAAAGAATATGTATTATGATTGCCAAGAGACTAAATGACACAGAAATAAACAACTATAGGTCATCATAATGCCCTCAATAATGAGAAAAGCCCCCGCATAGTCAGCTATAAAAGAGGGACGAAAGATACCAGAGGGAGAGTCCCCGAAATGACAGCTGTTTAACAATTTAATTCAAACGAGTGAAAATAACGGTTTTAATAATGTACAAACAAAGACCGAAACACGAATATGTAACACAGCAACAAATGACAACCACTGAATTACAGACTCCTGACCGCTATCTGATAATAACGACAACCTTATAGTTAACTTTTCACTTTTTGAAGCGATAGGAATTTCAAAATGGTCGCCAGTAAAGGCAAAGTTTGTATCGTAAACAAATTCATCTTTTTTTTTTTGAGAATATTGAACATTTTATACAATCAAACTTAATTAAAGTTATTCACAAGCACCTCAGACTTGCACATACTAGAACTTTATTTATAATCAAGTCAAATGAGACCCAATTGAATAGGGGAGCAATTCAAGCTCCCTGGAGCCTCTAATTATGTTTGGCATTGCAGGTTCTGAATAAGATGAATTTTTAGCTTTTCCCAATAAAGACTATGTTAAACTTTGGACTCATAGTGCTCAGACCCACGGATCTCTGTACCTTCATTTGTACACACTTGAATCTTAATGTACTACTGAGGCTTGATGCAAATTATAACTGTCTTATTTGGGGCCTACAGAGGTTATCAAGGCCTTGGGATACGCTGGTTTGTTCAAAAACGCAACTCTCAACAAGAAACCAATGACACAGAAATTTACAATTAAAGTCACCGTACGGCCTTTAACAATGATCACAGCCCATACCGCATAGTCAGCTATAAAAGGCCCCGAAATGACAAATGTAATACAATTCAAACGAGAAAAACTAGCGGCCTATTTTATGTACAAAAATAAACGAAAAACAAATATGTAAATTAAAGACTTGGGACATACACATACATAAAGAATGTGGCGGGGTTAAACATGTTAGCGGGATCCTAACCCTCCCCTTAAGTTTGTAGGAATAGTTGCCCTGGGGAACAGTGGTTAAAAGAACTTGGGGTACAAAGTTTTAATAGGGCTTCAATGGGGAGGACGCTTTAAGAATCTCATTAAGAACCAACAATAGCAATGCAGTAATAATTTGCATCAAGCCTCAGTAGTTACTGTACATTAAGATTCAAGTGTGTACAAATGAAGGTACAGAGATCCGTGGGTCTGAGCACTATGAATCCAAAGTTTAACATAGTCTTTATTGGGAAAAGCTTAAAATTCATCTTATTCAGAACCTGCAATGGAAATGCAGGACTTCATAATTTATACAAATCTGTACATGCCAAACATAATTAGAGGCTCCAAGGGAGCTTGAATTGCTCCCCTATTCAACTGGGTCTCATTTGACTAGATTATAAATAAAGTTCTAGTATGTGCAAGTCTGAGGTGCAAGTGAATAACTTTAATTAAGCTTGATTGCATATAGTGTTCATTATTATAAAAAAAAAAAAGATGAATTTGTTTCCGCTACAAACTTTGCCTTTACTGACAACCATTTTGAAATGCCTATCGCATCAAAAAGTGAAAAGTTAAACCATAAGGTTGCCGTTATTATCACATAGCGGTCAGGAGTCTGTAATTCAGTGGTTGCTGTGTTATATATTCGTTTTTCGGTCTTTGTTTGTACATTATTAAAACCGTTATTTTCACTCGTTTGAATTAAATTATTAAAAAGCTGTCATGTCGGGGACTCTCCCTCTGGTATCTTTCGTCCCTCTTTTATAGCTGACTATGCGGGGGCTTTTCTCATTATTGAGGGCATTATGATGACCTATAGTTGTTAATTTCTGTGTCATTAAGTCTCTTGGCAATCATAATACATATTCTTATATATATATAGCGATGTCGTTATTACGACATAGTGATGTCGTAATAACGACATGTTATGTCGAAATTACGACATAACGATGTCGTTATAACGACATGTTATGTCGAAATTACGACATGCTATGTCGTAATTACGACATAATTGGTTTTTTTTTTTAATGGCCCTTATCGGCTTCCGTAGTCTGCCAACCAAGATGGCGGACATGGCTAAAAATAGATCAAAGGGGTAAAATGCAAATTTCTACTATTTTCTTGAAAACCGCTATGAATATAGAAAATCTGACAGGAGCACATATGTTCAGAATGTTAAGATCTACCTGCTGTCTATATACACCGCATTTTTGCGCCTGTCCCAAGTCAGGAGCCTCTAGCCTTTGTTAGTCTTGTATTATTTTTAATTTTAGTTTTTTGTGTACAATTTGGAGTTTAGTATGGCGTTCTTTATCACTGAACTAGTATATATATTTGTTTAGGGGCCAGCTGAAGGACGCCTCCGGGTGCGGGAATTTCTCGCTGCATTGAAGACCTGTTGGTGACCTTCTGCTGTTGTCTGTTCTATGGTCGGGTTGTTGTCTCTTTGACACATTCCCCATTTCCATTCTCAATTTGATTGACCAATAGAAATAAGAAGATGTGGTATAAGTGCCAATGAGACAACTCTCCATCCAAGTCACAATGTGTAAAAAGTTAACAATTATAGGTCAAAGTACGGCCTTCAACACGGAGCCTTGGCTCACACCGAACAGCAAGCTATAAAGGGCCCCAAAATGACTAGTGTAAAACAATTCAAACAGGAAAACCAACGGTATAATCTATATAAAAAAAGAGAAACGAGAAACACTTAAGAACCTCATCAACAAACGACAACCACGGAAACAGGTTTCTGACTAAGAACAGAAATAACAAAATTGTCAGATAACTTCTTATAGAACTTATTGCTCTTAAATTTCAAAATTTTATATTTAATTTTTGTCTATCATTTTAATAACTATAATTATTATAGATACAGTGAAATTTTTATTATGAAAAATGATGAGCAAGACAATATCAACAAATAAGTTTACATGGCTGAAATTGTAAGACGACTCCGTATTGGAGTTATTGCTCTATAATGATGATTTTTACCGTTTTTGCCTCAAATCTTAAAAACTATAATAGATAGATAGAAACTTTAAATAGCAAAAATGAACAGCAAAAAGACGAGATCTAAATCTAAGCCATCTGACTGTAAAAATGTTTTACCCTTTTTTTTTTAGTTTTTTCCTATTATCTTGAAAAGTATAATATATAAAAATGTAGATAGAAACTTTGAAAAGCAAAAATGATCAGCAGGAGAAGACCTTCAAATTCAACATGATTGAAATTGTCATGTAACTCTTTATAGAGTTATTGCCCTTTCATGATGATTTTTATCAAAAAGTGGCTATTGTTGAAGATGCAGGTGAGCGACTTGGGCTGATCTTTGACATTTTTTGGCCAAACTTTTTACAGACGATTCAAATTTTGTGTTATCAATTCCTCAAACAGTTTCAATCCTGAACTGCTTGAACGTAATTTCACAGAAAGTTTCCATAACCAATGAAGATACGCACCTCCCATTATAGAGTAGTTACAAGTTTCTGCCTATTTTGTACATTGAATGTTTTCATATATTCAAATAATTATTATTGACTATTCTTCATTGTTAATGAAAATTGTTATGCAAGCGGATTGTTTTTTGTCTTTGACCCATTTCTGTAAGTTTGTTCTCGTTTTGACTATTCATGAAACATTGCCACTGGACGTTAGGTAAAACAATCAAACTAGCTATCAATTAAACAGGGATGCTATTTACAGACGAATATTATGTATCTCTTTAAGTATATGCAATCTCTTTTCAATATACTTTTCAGGATCATGGCCAGTAATTGGAGTCTTTGTGGTGTTTGTGATAGTCGTCAGATAACCAAATCATCAGTAGTCTGGTGTTCCGAATGCGACGAGGGGTTATGTGGAGATTGTATGGAGCATCATAGTAATTCCAAGGCAACAAGAAACCACGAAACCGTTTCCATTGCAGAATACAAGAAATTACCGTTCGAAGTTCTGCAAATCGCTCAGGTTTGTAAAATACATAATGAAAAATACGATCTTTTCTGTAAAAAACACGATTGTCCATGCTGTAAGAAATGTGTGAAATCTCACAACGATTGTAAAGGTTTAACCGACATCAATGAACTCATAAAAAACGTCAAAACTTCAAACGCCTTTTATGAAATCGAACAAACCCTGTTGGAAGTTGTAGATAATATGAATCTAATCATTACTAACCGAAAAGACAATTTAACTTTGCTAAAAAAGAAGAAAACAGGAATCGAAGAAGAAATAAAACAAACCAGGACCAAGATAAATAAGTACCTTGATAAACTTCGGGATGATATGATGAACGAATTAATGGCAACAGAACAAAAAGAAAGCAGTAAGATACAAAACTTGTTGACTACACTAAAACAGAAAGAGAAAGAGATCACTGAATTCAAAGCAAACATCGCTAATATTAAACAGCATGCGTCCGAACTTCAAACTTTTTTGGCAATGAAACAAATCGAGAAAGATATATCAGTCGAAGAAAAATTTATTCAATCGATTATCAAAACGGACACAATGAATCAAGTCATTATTTCATGCCAAATCAACAATTATATACAGCAAATCACGGCCAGCGGTCAGAAGTTTGGAGAAATTAATGTTTCTTCTGATCTCTGTAATTTGTCAATTCAGAAACGGAAGCACAAACAAGCACAAATTATGGTAGCTCTTCCCACCAGAAATATCGATAATCTGACTCTGACATTACAAAAACGTATCAATACAGGGTTGTCAGAGGTCGCAGGTTGTTCTATGCTTCCAGATGGTAGGATGGTATTCTCCTGTATTAGACAAAACAAAGTAAGAGTACTCAAATCTGACGGTTCAAAAGATTTCGAAATAAATGATATCGGTGATACGTTTGATGTGGTATTTATTGGTGATGATTCTATTGCTGTTACATCTTACTTTTCTAAAAAGATAAATATAATCGACATGAAGAATAACAAAAAGAAGAAAACTATAAACACAAGGTCTTGTAACGGTGGAATAGCATACAATGATGGGAGTCTGCTCTATTGTTGCAGGGAGAATGGACTACAGATGATTAATCTTAGTGATGAATCCATAACCAATGTTATCAATGTCAAACTTTCTTCCTTATCGTACGTTACAGTATTCGGTGACAAACTGTTCTACACAAACTGTGACAATAACAGTGTAACCTGTTGTGATTACCATGGTAACATACTGTGGACGTTCTGTGATACAAGTGTTCTGAGATCTCCACTCGGTATCTCTGTAGACAATGATGGTAACGTGTTTGTAGTGGGATATGCTACTAAAAATGTGATCGTTATCTCTCCTGATGGACAACGCTGCAGAGAAGTCGTATCGAGTAAAGATGGACTGATCAGACCAGCGGTTCTGCACTATGACCAATCAAACGATAAGTTGTTAGTTGTTAATTCATGGACATACGCGTTATTATTTGAGGTTAAATGTTGAGTAATGATGTATACTATTTCAGTTACCTGACAAAACATTTCGTTAATCTATAAATTGCAGACTATATTTAAATTAAATTATTTGATATGATCTGCTTTTGTTTATAATTACATTGTTTGCTAATTGGAAAAAATATGTGTTCATCATATACCTAGGTATAAAATGTATGGTATTGGTTATATATGCTTGTGGTTCAAATATTTTTCAGTGATACTCGAAAAAAAGAAGTGAAATCAATTACGATTGCAATGAGCATTAACCAGTATTGGTTTTATATCATTTTGATAATATCCAAATAATTTCATGTCTGCAGACTGTGCCTGTCACTGTGAGCGAAAAGTAAGCAGGAGAAGTGAAGAATACGGTGAACTAATCAGTTTTCCCCAAGGAATGACATTATGTGGCTTAAAATTGTGTCAACTTACCCTGAAGCGAACCATTTTTGGGATAAAATGATGTATCCTTGCGTATGACGTAGTATCCTTTCTAAGCTAAACATCTTTGATTTACATGTATTTAATTTGATAAGGAAACCACACAAAAAAGTCAGGACAGCCTAAGTCTCTTACGTATTGATCCGTCTTTGGTTGACCTTTTGACTTTGACTATGAAAACTATAGGAAGTGAATCCGCGAGTAGACAAGTGTTTTAAGATCTAATTTCTAAAGACATCGTAAAAATCTTATGATTTTCTAATAGTTGCTTTCATTTTGTAGCGTTCAATGCATGTCTTCTAGATCTTTATAAGTGAGGTGGATGTTATATATAAAAAATAAGGAGATGTGGTATGATTTCCAATAAGACAACTATCCACCAAAGTAAAAATAAAGTGGATGTAAGCAATTATAGGCTACAGTACGGCCTTCAACAATGAGAATAACCCATACCGTATAGTCAGCTATAAAAGGCCACGAAATGACAAATGCATAACAATTCAAGCGAGAAAACTAACGACCTGATTTATGTCAAAACACTGAACGAAATACAAACGACAACCACTGAATTACAGGCTCCTGACTTGTTACATGTATTTTTAAAGCACAGGCTTATATCCTGTCAACGTATTCGTTCTTGCTCAGTTTGGACTTCCTGTAATTATCAGTCTTTTTTCTCTTGGTTGGTTTATTCTAAAAATAAATTCTTGGACGTTAGTCCGAACGGGTGTATCTAATTTACACAAAGATGTTTTTGTCAATGCAGAATGATAGTTTTCAATAATTTAGGAGGGGGTCTTTCAGCGATTTGATCATATAGTATTGAAAAGCATATGAGAAATGCAGGGTATCCAATTTCATTTAACGACATCTTCGTGTAAATCTTGTTGTTTTTCTTTTTCTTTCTTTTAAAATTTTCCTTGAATTATTCAATGTAATTTTATGAAATATTAAAAGAGATGTAGGGAATTCAAAACATCGATATGTGCATTATCTTCAGTTGTTAAACCGTCATCATGTTTGAGTGCCATAGCGCAATGTCAAAATATGCTAATATATTTTTGTGTACAATATCCATTTTCCAGTTGAATTAACACTTACACAGTTAAGCAACGTTGGATGATTTATGATTCCATAAAGTAGTTGTTGTTCTTTACCAATTATTATATTCTTAATGCATAGATAATATAAATGGGATTTTGTGACACTCGGGGGTCTATCCAGAAACGACGGAAAGCCTCGTAAATGAGTTCAATGTGTGCCATTTGTAGTGACACTTGAATTTACAATTATACATACTTCATTGATGAAAAAGAATACAGAATAAAGAGACCATTAATAACAGCATGATGCAACGTAAAGCACTTTTAATATCCCATTTTCAAGTATAAACCACAAAAAATAACGATGAAAAAAATCTTGTTTACGTTTTCTAACTGATTTTCTCCCTCTAAACGCGTATATGCAATATGAACTTCAAAATCTAAAGAAACTTTAGTTAAAAAAACTAAGTGGCCATTGCACACATAAAACTTCTTTTTTTTTTAAATTTAAGATGGGAAAAATTAAACTTTGCAATAAAAAGTCAACTCTGAAAAGTTTTCTGAAAATAAGAATACTTAGGTGCTTGAATCTTTTTTTTTAAAATAAATTGACAACATATTTACATGTAGTTTAATAATTCTTCTCCACTTTGCCGTGACTTGGAGGGTCGGATGACTTAAACTGATTAAAAGACAGTGAGGTCGGTAGTTAAGAATTATACCACACCTTCTCAGTTTTATAGTTATGACAAAAGAGAAGATTTCGCGTATACCCCACATTTCGTTCTTCTTACGACAAATTGAACACATCCGTGGTCATCTTTCACAAAGTGAGGTCAATAGCCATTACCCAAAACATGATGGCGTCCGTAGTTTTTTTTTTAAGAGGGGACTTCAACTTTACCACAAGGAACCATGAATTGACTAAGTTGTCACAGCTCAAATAAAAGACCAGGAACAAGTGTGAAGAGTTGAAGTGACAATTCCTCATGTCTATACATCCTTCTAATTGATTGTTGGTTGCTTAATGTCCAGTGGCAAATATTTCATGCATGTTCAAGGCGATATGTAAATAGTTTAATCAAGCATCTGAGTGTATTTATTATCACTACGCTGTCTTTTTACTCAGAAATAAGTAATTTTTATATTGCGTCTTTTTTTCAAAGCAAATTATTCTAATTTTACAGTATTTTAGTAAAAGTGCAGAACGAGTTGTAATCATCTGTTTTGACTCCAGTTAAAAAAAATAAAACAAAAAACAACAACAGGGGGAACATCTACAAAGAGTGTGATGTGTTAAAAAAAGTTCAAGAACAAAGAATATTCTGGACATAGATTTATATAAAAAAATATAATATTGATGGGTGCTAACACGTTAACTTTGAACAATTATTTCATACTTGTACATAGTTCAAAAGTACCAAGAAAAATGTCAAAACTATACCTGAACATATTCTACATGTATTAGGCTAAATCGGCCCTAAATAACCCTCAATCAATCTTTTAATATACGTTCTATATAAAAAAAATATCGTTGCGGGATTGCACCACGTTTGTGCGATTGTCATCTTATTTTCACCCTTAAAATTTCAAATAAAGTGGTTTGATATTTCTGAAACTTGCATTCAATTTAAGCAAACATTTTTTTTCAGGCACCTCAACCTAAACCCATATAACGATCGAACCTTTTGTGACAATTTCACAACGTGGCCAATTTATGCGAATTCGAATACTTCCAAATCGGTAACACAAATGTTTCATCAGTCAGAGTACGTTATAATGCAGCATAAGGTTCAGTTATTTTGATATAATTTAATTATAGATCAATTTGAAATACTATTTTTATATTTTCCCGTAAACATTGTGTTGTTATTCCAATTTTGGACTTCTTTTTCTATTTTCTTTTTCCTTTTGGGGAAAAAGGGGGGGAGGGGTATTCCGACCCTTAATAAAGCTTTTCAAAACACTTCTTTTTACGTTTGGATGTTACATCTCACGATAAATACTAACTAAGTGTAGATTCGATAGACGCCTGGTATTCAAATTGTTTCACTTAATTAACCAATTTTCTAGCTGATTTACTAGCTGATGGGAAAGATAAAAGCATAAATTAAGTTAAGACCATTATATTTTCGTTAGAGGGACAGTTCAGGATTGATATTTATGATATGTTTTTCGCAGTTCAGAAACTATTTACTCGAGTTTGCTACTTTTCCTTCGGGACTGGAAAGATCTAATTTGCTGACGCCATTTTCATCAACAGAAATTTGCAATCACCATTATCGGAATTATAGAAACTCCAACCGTTCTATGAAATCGTTATATTTCTACATATGTTGGAGACACTAGAATATCTCGGCTATGTATTGTTTCGTCAGTAAACATGTTTATACCAAAAATACTACAGATATTGACCTTAGCGTTTTTAAATGTTCAATGTACTTAACATGCTGATATAAAAAGCATGCCGTCCTACACGAGGGTGTGGATAGGGTTTTACAGAATAGAGAATAATGGGCAAAAAATATAAAGAATAGTGAAAAAATGAACCCTCCTACATTTAATATCAGTACACACATGTATACATTTAGTCAATCTTTTGTCTTATAATGAATTTTCAATATTTTTGAATTCCTTTAATTTTTTTCCTTGAATAAGCTATGGACAAGTGCTGTTTTACTCTTTCAAGTATAGAAAGGAATTTAACGATGTCGATGCGGATGGTAAGAAATGCAGTATATCAATTGTTTTATCTTGGTAAAAAACTCAATTCGCGTTATAGAGAATAAGAGAAAGAAGTGAACATAGTTCATGGTAGTCAAGTGGCAGAAAGCTTTATACAAAATCACACATGCAGTCAGTTTATAGAATGGAATAATAGAGAGAAAATTTGAAACTTGAAAGCTTGGAAGAAGTTAAACAAAAAATACAGACACGACAGCCAGTTAGAAGATTAAAACGACGAGTAAAAGAATGACTGCAAGTTTATTATGACTAAAAACTAGGGGGAAACATGGTTGCCCGCTGAAATGTGGTTTATATTTTTCACTTAGGGGCCTTTTATAGATGACTATGCGGTATGGGTTTTGCTCATTTGTTGAATGCCGTACGGTGACCTATAGTTGTTAACTTCTACGTCATTTGGTCTCTTGTGGAGAGTTGTCTCATTGGCAATCATACCACATCTTCTTATTTTATATGTATACAATAAACAAGATAAGCAAATCAGAAGAACACAAATGGAAAATGAATCCTAATAGGAAAGAGTTTGAAGAATTGGCGATATAATAAAATAAAGATAATTGGAAGAATTTCAGAACCATACAAATATGACTGTCTTTTGGAAGAATTGAATATAACACATGAGATTCACTCGTCTAATCACAATCAAAGAAGTGTAATTTTCCCACCCTATCAACTTATTCTCCCCCTTTATTAAACAAAACCATTCCAGTTCCTCAATTGTAAATTGATTGCTACTTTATTAAAAACAAACGGAAATAACAACAACACAGTTCCGTTTAATGTATTCGCTGTCTAATGCGGATAAAATTGCGGACGTTGTATTTATATGGTCCCGTGATTGTATTGCAGTTATAATTTCAAATAAAAG